AGTTTCTGATAGTTCAATAACCAAAATGTTATAAAAATTTAATCTTTATATTTGAAAGTTTATCTAAATAATGCACAATATTTAAAAAAAAATTTTTATTTTAATTAATACGCTAGGAATTGTAATACAGACAAAAGATTTCCCCCCTCAATAACAATATAAAAACCAAAACAATACATTATGTTTTGGGTTTTATATTATTTGAAAAGTTTTTAATTTGAAAATTAGGAAATAATATAAGCGCTGTATTTTAAGAAATAATGTACTGGTACATAAAAACATCTAAATAATCATTTTTTTCCCCTCTCTTCTAACACGTTCTAATTTTCAACTCCAAATGTAAATCCTTAATCAAGTGAATATGGAAAAACACCAAGATTCAATATGAATTTTTTACTTGAATACTTTGAGAAAAACCAATCAAAATAATTTAATATTATTAATGGACACCATAATTTTTTGCATATTAATATTGTGTTATGTTTATATTAAATTAATACAGAAGAAATTCAACATCATTAGTGAATTTTTCAAAAAATAAATTATTTAAAATATTTTTTATTTTTTAACTTTTTAAAATTAATTAATTTCGTCTAACGTTCTAATCTGTACCGTTTGTACCAAGCTTATCACGTACAGTACTTTAAGATTTTGAAAAAACCTCATACTTTCAAAGCTTTGTTGTAGGCTGTAAAAACTTTCCAATTAGTAGATTTGTACTGTTGAAAAATCGCTTTAAACAGTACGAGTCTACTTTAATTAATAAATAAAATAATTGAAAAAATATCATATTAAAATTAACAACATATTTTAATCAATCAAATTAAATTTTTTTTTAAAATTATTTTTTGGCAACGGAATTTATTATTGCATTTTAAACGATGGATTAATTTTTGATCACTTGGAATTTAGCAGAGTGAGAAATAATCAAATTAGTAATTAGTCTAAGTTATTTTAAGAGCCGTTATTTTATTATATCTTAATCGTATCTTATTGTATTAATAATCTATTATCACACTGACTCAATAATATGTATATAATTCCATACATAATTATATTTAGAACGAAAATAAAGTAGACTTCGAGATGTACTATGTATACTGTACTTAGCGCGCGATAACATATAATTATTAGCGATATCGATTGAAATAAATCAATTAAATTGTTTAATTTTGTTTTTAAAATCAATTAAACTTTCCTTATTTCTATAGTATATAATTTTTTCAATATTTTAGATAAATTATTTATTTATTTATTTTTTTTTTTTCATTTAGAATCGATCCCGTGCGAGATTTTTATTCGATTATTTTAATTTTATGTTGACAATATATTAGATTTATTTATTTATTTTTATATTGTAAGAGTTGAGATAATATCCTAGAAATTTATCCTTCAAAATTACGTTCTGATTTAGTTGTTTGAGTGTCCTAGAAGCAAGGTTATTGATCCTGTTAACGTAATATCTTTCGCCAATTATAAATTATAATTATTTTCGATTTTTAATTTGATTTATAATCTTTTTCGTCTACAAAATTACTTATTAAAAAAAATATATATATACACATAAAAATCTATAAATTAACCCATTACGTATAAATTAAAAATATATATATATCTAAATTACTTATATACTTTCCCTGGATAGACAATATATAGATTAAATTAGCCAAAAAAAAATTGGCCAGGGTTAAAATTTGATAAATTTTATATTTAAAAAAATGGAATAACCGGATATGGACATTGAACCCGAGTGTTTGCCTAAGTGGGACAACACTATCATCGAGATAATCCGGTAGTTTTCGAGGTACGAATAGCCAATGTGGGATTCCGAATTCCACATCCTGTATTTAGTTCCTATCCGAAAATGAGTGCGGATTTAAACCGGGATTAAATTTAATCTTCAATGAGGATAGCCACGGGATTAAAACTTGTTCAAAACTGCAATTATTGTGAAGATTATCGGTGTAATTCTTTGAAATGCATCTAAGTAAATGCTGTGTTTGGTTCGATTAGATTTGGAATTTTGAAGAAACTGAATCGAGACGAAGTTTAAAAGTTCGTGGAAATAATGCAAATGGTACATTTCCCCAAAAATTGCATGCTTATGGAGCACGTTGAAACGTAATCCGATGACGTATCGAGATGCGTTTTGAAAATTCAAATTATAGTTTTTGTACGATTTCGGAGAAATTAGATATTTAATTAAACCGATCGCTGCCAATTAGTAAAATTCTGATAGGTTTTTACGTCTTTCATTATTTTGGGGAATATTTCTTATTAAATACCGTGAAATCATTGCGTCATATCTGACGTCTTCGGAAATGAATAAGTTACAAAACAACAAAATGACGTCATCGATGACGAAATGTTCGCATTCTTCGGCCATTCATTTTCGACGTAAGAGAATATATTATCTACTTACATCTAAATACGAAAACCCAATTTTTTTTTAATATAAAATATTATTTATGTAAATAATTACCGTGAGAAAGCTAAATATAAAAATGGAGAGGAAAATGTAGTTAAATTTTCGATAATCATGTGGTGCCATCTATCGACTTTATTAAGAAACAGTATAATTCTTTTTATCTAAGAAGTAAATTTACAGAACTGTTTAGATTATTTTTTGAATTTTGTTCTAGCCAAAAAAATTAAAAGTTTTCGATTTACGTTATAATGATGATTTTTGAAAGAGGAAAAAAAACAGTTAACATCAAATAAAATTCAAATGATTTTCTTATGAAATCATTTATTTAACATTATGTTAAATACAAAGGATGATAAAATATGATTTTACTGATTAAGAAGAAATATTTGGATGAAATAATTTGGTGGCATTTTGTTTTTTTTTTTTAATAGGAACAACTTCTGTAACTTGAAAATTGAACTTCATATCAGTCGCCATTTACATGCGAAAAATGTACATTCAAATTCTAGATTTGCATTGTTCTTTGTATTCAAAAATTTATCAATGCAGAAAGTAAAATGAATAAAAAAATATATATATTAACGCCAATGTAGTTATGAGCGCCATTTTTTTTTCCTAAGAGCTAAACATAGAATATTTAATCTAATTATCCAGCGAGACAATGTCGAATGGCCCGAGAAACAGCGGTGAATTTTACTGCACTTTATATTTGTATTTCGTTAAGCACAGTATATTTGTAATTCGGTGATTATTTGAATAAAGCATTCGATTTTCAGTACATTTAACCCTACTTATTCTATCGATATTTCAAGCAACACGTTTCTTTATCCTAGAGCATTACAATTGATTGAGCAGTAAGGCGTTAATGGGTCGTTTATAGATTGTCGATTTTTAAACCGATCTTCTTATAAATAGTGTTTTCTGGACAATCAACTTTAGCTTTAGTCTACAATCCTTTCAATATATTAAATCGAATTGAATATAAATTTATTAAGCTTTTAAAACGTATCGTGTTGATTTACTAAATTTGATTACTTGTAGAGTTTTGGTGTTTGTTCAATTTCTCTTGCGACTCTACTTCTGCAAATGATAATAAGAATTAACTAGGCTTATATTAGAATGAAAAACAGATTTTTATGATTTATATTAGCCAAACGCTAATCACTGGGACTGGTTTGATTGCCACATGTTTTACTATGACACAGTTTAGGCTAGTAATAAGTCGATTACCTTTCTACGTTTGGCCTATCGTTTCCGTATAATGCACGAAAATTTCAATTGCACAACTTAAAAGTACAAGAACGTTTTATCTGCATCGAATCGCAATTCTTTACAATCAAGTATACTTTTTCAATTAAAAAAGAAAAAAAATGGCGATTTGGTAATCTTATATTACCTCCGCGCGCGTCGTTTTTATCGTTATATATTTCGCAACTTGCGAATAATTTACGCCTTTTTAAACAGAAAAATCTAGTAAATTTGCATTTTAAATACAAATTAACACTGTCAAGTAATACTGGGCCATAATACCAGCCGTTCATTAAATGTTAGAGGATCGAAAGTAGTTAAATATCCCCGCACTTCGCTAATTTGCGCGTATTATGGACAAATACTTCTGAGTACATAAGTTTGTAAATATTCATGTTATATTTATTCATTTGAGTTATATTCATAAATTGATTTATTTTAAATTTTAAAGATAACAAAGAAAGATAAGATAAAACTACTTTTTTTTCTAAGATTTCTTATAATTATTTATGTTCAACTCAATTGCTTGCTTGTAAAACACTTCCCAGTTTGAACTGGATAATTAGTGAATCACTTAGACAATGAACATTTTTAAAATAGTTTTAGAATGGATGTTTACGAGACTTGAATAAGATTGTCATTCAAGTAGAGGTGCACCCTGTGTTTAAAAATAAATATTACCAAAGATTAGGAAGGACTGTTCAACAACATTGTCACCTCGGTTCTTGCATATTTAACATTAATGAATGACTGCTAAAAATTTGTTTCAGTACCTACACATATCTTTCTGTATTTTTACTTGTGTTCCTGTAGAGAGTAGCCTAAATATAGTTGAATGCCCTGTCTAATGCACAGATCTTTAATAAGATATCTTATTTAACAATTGTCTAAGGAATTTTCATTAATAATCAGTCAATATAAGTCTATTTTTAATCAGTGTGAAACGTCTAATGTTATGCTGATCAGATTTTTTCTGCTTTTTTGTTTTTTCTAATTACAACTGTTATTAATTCTAATTTTCTCTTTCAATATTTACATTTTATCATTTGAATTAAAATAATTTATTAGAATTTTAAAGATTATTTACAGAAATAAGTACTTAATCAGTACTTTGTGCAATTTAACATGATGACAGTTTCTGTAAACATACAACAATGAAATTATCTCTACATAACATTCTTATAAAAAACAAACATAGTTGAAAGAATAGCTACTGTATCTTACTGTCAATATATATATATATTTCTTTTTAATTTTACAAGTTAATATACAACAAATTTGGTGTAATAGTTCAATCAATCAAATACTCAAAAATGCCAGTTTTTTTTTATATAGTAGCTTTATTTCACAGGCAGATAAAAATACACAACTATTTGCAACTTTTTTTTCATTGGTGCCAACATTTTGTTTTTTTTTTTTTTTTTTACAGGCAAACAGGGTAATATCAACATGCTGTGTTACTTCTAAACTTGCTAAGAGCATTGTGGCCTTTTCTTTTAGTGCTAATGAACATCACTAGGACTATTGAGAAATTTCTGGTTGATTTTTTCCTAAAGAAAAACAATATCTCTCTGGATATTGATTTTGAAAGTGTATCTCTAATTTTTGACAATATATAAATGGATGGCCTGTGACCTTCCACGACTATTTGCTGTGGAATTTGTGATGAATCTACAACTTGTACAGTGCAATGACCAGAAAAAATTTAATATAATCAGCTTTGCTGAAAATCATTTTACAAACTATATTCTATTGAATCTATATATCTCTATGTATTTATGTATAATGTACATTGGTTCAATATATTATCTTCCAGAAGGTTATGCCTTCTTTCTTAGTGCACATCAGTTTACATCTTAAATATTCCAAACATGGCTTTTTTTAATATATATAATATATATATATAAATTATATATATATTCATTCCAACAGCTTGCATTTGAGAAGGAAATTTTTCTCTCTGTACAGACAAATTTATTGGCAGGAATATATTAATGTATACTTTTATTTAATTTGTTAATAATTTTTAATTATTATAGCATTAATAAAAATATTGGAAAAAAAATGCTTTTGATTTACAGTTATATATAGAAACAGTTAAAAAGTACAACATATTTCAGATGCTACGTGTGATATTTATCAGAAATAAATATTTAAAATCTGTAAAATCAAGCACGAAAGGTGCATATAGTAAAAGTTTAAAACTACGTTTGTTGTAATCACTACAATTCATGTGAGTGGTAGTAATGTTAAATGCAATCTTTAAAAATTTAAGGCATGCTTATATGATTGTCACTATAGATCAAGATTGAAATAAAAATTTATTTATATATAAACTAGGAAGAAAATTGTTAAGCAAATGTCTAAAGAGGAATCCATCAATTAAAAGAGCAAATATTAAGAAATACTTTTTGGTCTAAAAAAGACCCACGTTGGCAACATTTATTACTTCCTGACTCGGCAGAGAATGGACTAGATTTGAACGGAAGCACTGAATGATGCTATGATCACTATCAAAATTTAAAGCTAGGTTGTTGTTTCATAATAATTTTTGTTTTTTTTGTAAATATGCCGATTAATTTAAAAAGAAATAAGTTTTCTCATCTCAAATGCTAGCCAGACTTCTATACACAAACCATTTTAGCATCATTTTTTTTTTTGTCATAATTTATATATCTAAAAATCTTTGATACTTCTCAAATATTTTATGTTAAAACAACAAATATTTGTACAAACAGGATTGCAGGTCATTTTGCTCTCAAACTTATTTAAAAATAATAGAGACTCAATACACCATTTTCTCTTTGAAACAAAAACACATTTTAGTTTTTTTTTTTTATCCATAATGATTATGGCTTTTGATTAATAAAAATTTTTGATTAGTGAAAAAATATTTTTTCTCCTTTTTTTTTTATTCCATAATGGACTCTGTTTAGAAATATTTTCTTAACAGATTTAATTAGTTATAGATTAGTTCTCTATGAAAATTTTGTTGTACTATATTTTTTCACGATTAAGCAAAGCTAAAATTTATTTCTATGCAAATTTTAAACTGCGTAGTTTCTTAATCGATTCAACTAGGCAATTTTAATATATTATTCTTAGTGTATATGAGTCTCTGTTACAATAAAATCCTATTTAATGAATAACATGAAGTGATGTTTAATTATGGGAGAATTTCCACCTGCAGTTATTTCTTTTTAAATGCTTATATTTGAGTAATATTAAATTTCTGATGATAGGCACCATTTTTTTATCGACAGATTGAGTGCTGGTACTACACCAAACACGTGCTATACCAGTAGGCACTGAATGCATTGTTTTAACCACATAAAGCATATCAAGCAACAATCCACATATACATACAACTGAACACAAACACAGTAAGTAGAACTGTAAATACATATTTCACTCCAAACTATCAAATCTTGGTCTGTGCACACAAATGGTTATTGTATCAATGAGCAAAAAATGATTTTTTCTCAGTCAAATAAAATGTACATGTACTTTTTTTCACAAATCATATTTCAATACAAGACAAAATAGGTCAGTCACAGTAAACAGAATCAAAAGTATAATTTTGCAAGGTTTACAACAGATTTAAACATAAAATACTATGGCAATTAGTTTACTCTTCTACATATAAGAATTAAAAAAGAAAAGAAAAAATATATCGAAATTAGTAGGTACAGTTAAGTTTCAATTCGAAGGCAATTTTGAGGAACATTCGTTAATCTTTCCAATAAAACATCTAATCAAATATAACTAATTTGTTTTTACTTAATTGCACCTACTAAATATATATATATCTATATATATATATTCATATAATATAGAATATTGGGCAGTAGTTTGGAAGAACACTACTGAGAGGATTTGGGAGAAGCAGTATTTAAGTACTTCTGCATTTAAAATCATTCTCATATGCCTTTTCAACACTTCCATTTGCTTTAAATCAAACAAATCCATGCCATTCATAGTATTTGTGCTAAAAGTAAGACAAAATGAAATTACCTTTGCACATAAGCTTATCTAATACTTTTTTTGTTTTTTTCTTTTGCTAAAAACTGACAATTTTTATGAGCATTCTACAATTGTCTATAAACTAAATTTAGACAGTAAATCATTTTCAATCTGTCCTGCTTGGTCTCAATTTCACAAACTGGCTAAATGCTTCCTAGTGCAGGTACAAAAGTGCACTTCTGGGGAATGTAACTAATGAAAATATAGCCCCTCTATGAAGGACTTGATACTATTCTTCTACTGGCAAAGGTGGTAAGATAGTAATTATTAGCCATAGAAAATTTCTCTCTATCATTTCCAACAACATCTGTGGCATAACTTAATACAATCCAATGCACTTTGGTATAAAATCATTCCTTCACTATCTTAACAACAACAGATAAAATGTTTGTCAGTCCTTAACAATTCTTAATTATACAACTACAAACCTTCTATAATGAATTTTTCTCTCAAAATACTTTATATATGAAGTTTCTTTCCAAATTGGAACTTTTTCAAATCTCTCATTGAATAGTGGAAATGTCTTCTGCAATTACTAAGTTTCACAATAAACTATAAGAGGTAGGTAGGCAGGTACCTATTTTCTGTCCATTGTTAGTCGACACTTAAACTGCCATCTATACATATGTAGTATGTATGTACCACAAGTCATCTCAGCTGATCTCAATTATATAAGCCCTCTGTCTACATAAGACAGAAATATTTGTAGTTGGTGTGTTCCACTAGGATTGAGATAATTAGTTTTAAGTGTGCTGATTTCCTCTGTTACTAAAAAAGGGGCACCAGTACACAATCTCCTCCCATTAAGATGACTAAAATATTCCATGTTAGCAATGGCATGCAATAAGATGCAATCACACACACACTAAATCCAAGATGAGCACACACTTTTTTACGGTGCCCATCCCTCAACCGTCAGACGTGGCCTTTTGCCACCGGATGCATCGTATTCTGCACTGACGACGTTTGGATCTGGAGAAGACGAAGTCGATGGTGTTAACGAGTGACCAGGTGAAAGATGGCCAGATGGAGGTCGTTGCAGGGTATTTGCCATACCATCCCTAGGGGGTGAAATTGGTTCACTCTTGATTTTTATTGACATATTACTGTTTGATGTATTAACTGATAGATGAGACATGTGGTTCGAACTACATAGAAAAAATTTTTTATTATAACATTAAAATCATTTAATTATTTTAAATTACAGTTGAAAAATTAGTTGAGTTTAAAGAATGGAAATATTTTATTTAAAAAGTTATATATTTTACCTATGCGAAAGTCCTGTTGATAATGCATTCATAGTGCTTTGAGATGACCAGTTATGCAACATGTTTGAATTGAGTCCCGACAGGCCAAAATCAGATGCAAGTTGAAAATCATCTATAAAAAAGATTATTTTATTTTCAAATAGCAATTACATCATTGCAAATGCTTGCATACAATTAGAAGAATGCCTGCTTACTGGGAGGGAAAGTGGAAATAGCGGACGGATAATTGCCCATATTAGATATACCAGTTGACATTGACACCACAGGAGAACTTACAGATGTATTTGAAGGTCTACCTCCCTGTTTAAAATAATAATTAATTCAGAAATGATGACAATAAAAGTTTATTATTTCCACATAAAAGTAATAAAAATTTAAATTTTTTTAAATTTAAATAATAATAATCTATTTATTAACATTATAAAACAGGTTAAAAAAACTAATAGTTATACTAATTTTTTACTTAGATTTTATAAAAATCATACAAGTTCTATATAAAACATATAAAATCAGAAAATGTTATTTCAAAGTAATCATTTAAGAGAGATGATTGATTATATATTTTACTTTATTGAAAAATTAAATATAATGACACTAATTAATCTCTACATCTCTGTATACAGCCTTTCTTATTGAATTAAATTTTAGATTCTAATATTTGTTTGTTTGTTTGCCAATCTGCCTAGAGGGATGCCTTCCGGGAGATCTTTTTAAAGGTAACTGGCCCCTATTCAGGCATTACAGACATGGAGAAACCCGGAAGACTCCACGTGACCAGCCCTTCCTGGCAAGGCGCAAACCCACGACCGAACTCCCAGTGTTCAAAGAATGGAACCACTTGGCCACTGGTGGGCCCTAGATTCTAATATAAAGATTAATAATTTAACATAGCCATTGTTATAAATGTATTTAAGAAAGAAAAGGATTTAATATAGAAAAATATTTGAAACTAAACTAATAAAAATGAAATTGTTTCAAATTTAAAGATTATTCATATTAAGTAAATATTAAATTATACAAATTGAATTTTTTGGTTAGTATTTATCATATTTTGCCTGCAATACACTAATAGTCAATTTTCGTAGTATAATAAAATAAATAGATTATCATCTTATAGATAGCTGTAATAAAATCTAATCTAAAATAGATACATTATTTTAAAGATTGTAAATAGAATAGAAATAGTAACTAGAACTAAGCTTTTTGTCTTGCAAATAGGATTCCTTATAATATACTAATTATTAAAAATATAAATTATACTCACGATAGCATTAGAATGTGAGTTTGGAATAACACGGAGATTCGAACGATTGTTGCTCCCTGAGAGTGGGGGTGAATGTTGCTTATTTAGACCACCTTTACTGCAAAGAGCAGGTGATGTGTTACCAGATAAAGGTGATCCTGTTCTATGGTAACCATTGGCAACTCCATTCATGTCTATTAATCCTAAATTTTTAAATATTTAATATAAGATTTAAAAAGAAAACTGAATTAAATTTTTTTGTGCCACAGTTTTAAACATTAACCTGAAGAACTTGGACGAGGGCTGACGCTAGCATGAGGAGGCATCTGTGGCGAATGTTGCATCATGTTCGTATCTTGAATGTGATGATGGTAAGTAGACGATGAGACTGGAAGTGATACCATGCTTTGACCCAGGGTTGGAGGTTGAGACTATTAGATGTTGAATTTATTTTTTAGTTTTAAATGAAACAATTTATTTAGAGCAGATGGATAATTTATACAGAAACAAATAATGAATTAGACAATAAATCTAGACAATTATCAATACATATCATTTTATTATTTTGTATAACTAAAACAAAAACATAAAATATTAGTTGTATTAAATGATATTTTACAGGTGACAAATTCAGTTTGTATGTGAATAGGAAATATTTCCTGAAGATGAGGAAAATGCTGAAATTAAAAATAAAAAACTACAAATAATATTTCTTCTATCAAGTTTAAATGCATGAAGAGAATTCAATTAGTCCATTTCTGAAAGTTTCGTAATTTAAATTAAATTACTTTTGTGAAATTTCAGATATTAAATTATCTACAGATATCACTAATAATAAATATACTTATCAAATTTCCTATTGTAACAAGCAATATCCAAGAATTATTTATTTATTTTTAATGTTGGGAAGACAATAAATGGATAACATGTTGTTATTACAGTATCATTACGTGAATATTTGCAAATTCGATATCATATTTCAATATTTACAAATTTATTAATTCGATTTCACTCAATTGGTATTATCACAAATGAAAGGATTCAAGTATTCTTAGTTTATAACTCGCAATCAATTGTTTTATGCTTGTATCAATAGCACTGCATGTATTGAAACTTGTTCATATCAAGATAACTATTCATAACTGGATTCTATAATTTGTAGTTACTTAAACATAGCACTTACTCTTCCATTCATATGAGTATTACTCCTTTGCATGATGATATCAAATTCCTCACTGATTTTATTATATTTATTATCAGGCCTGTTTGTCATGTATTGGTCCTGGTCTGGTTCTGGACTATCGCAGCCATTTGTAGAATTTTTATGTTCTTTCTTACTTAATGCCTATAAAATTAAAAATAATTACTCTTACTATAATTAGTGAAAGTCAATTAAAAGTTACTTATTGTAATTTGCTTTAAATATACTAACAACTAAATAGAATACCTAACTAGAGACAATTTAATTTTCAAAATACTTCTAAAAAAGTATTCTATAATTTAAAAGAGCGAATTATCTAAAAATATGTGTGTGCACGCAGGAAATCTACTTATGCATTCATCACACAAGAAAAAAAAAGGGGAGAAAAAACAAAACTTCCTATTTTACAATCCTCAAAAGTAGGTTAAACAACAATTGCTTTGGATAAGAAGTTCTAAAATGAAAGTCTGTTAGAGAATTTGGCAAAAAAATTGTCACCTGTATGTCCAATATCCGTGAAATTGAAATTGGTGACACACACATGTGGACAATAAAATGAGTAATTACCATACAATTTGACCCGCACTAAACATCTTAACAAAGATAATTTGTCCAAACTTTCATTTACTTCATAATAAACGCTAAAAATAGAAACCTAGGAGGGGTATAATGACTATAAAGCGCAAATATCCAAAATGACTACCTATAAACAAGCTTAATAACTTTACATAGTAACGATCTTAAGCTAATTATTTGTTACTGATCTGAATTACCTTAACTACTGTAATTGTTATAATTTTTCGCCTAACGAATCCAAGTACTAAATCTTTTATTTTTCCTTCTTCTCCCTGGTCGATTTTTGTTGAATTGTCTAGACTTTCATAAACAACCTTGGAATTTTAGAGCACTGATGGTAAAACTACCACCTTGGCAAAATTTCCTTGGTTAAACCTTGGTGATTCTGACCTAAATCAACACTTAATAACAACAAAACAATCATTTACAAATATATTTATAATGTGTGTAATATTTTTTCGATAACGTCTTGTAAGAATAGACCAGAGGATTGAAATGGTTAAAAAAAGAAATCAACAAAACACGAGGTGCGAGTGAGGAAGGCAATTAATTTTCTTTCGAGGGGGCAATGGTAATAAAAACTTCCTTAAAGATATGCAGTAACGATTTTCGATTATCTCCAATCGAAAACACCTACTCTGCCATAACGCCGCCTTATTGAATTCGGTTTATATTTACAACTCTATATAGGTTACCTCAAACGACCACAATATAAATTATATCTACGTCCATAAATAGTGATAGTAATGAAAGTATACGCCGAATACAGTAATGTCTTTTAACAGATATGAAACAATGAGGGTTTGGTCCCACTGACATAATAGCCTGGACAAAAGCAATACGAGAAGTCAATAACCCCTGCAGTGATCCCATGCAGCTTAATCATTTCTGATCTTATCTATCTTTCCTCCGGAGTAGAAAGAAAAAAACTCGAGGGTTTTCCCCCTTCACTCTTATTCCTGGAGTAAACATCAAAACTGTCGAATATATACCAACCTCTACAATGTCATTGTTTGTTCTGCTTTCGTGTGGTTCATTGTACTCTGTATATTTGAGCAGCACTTTATCCATATCCGTACTGGCATATTGGAATAACTTGTTAGTACCGTTGAAGATTATCAATGCGATCTCGCAATCACACAAGACACTTAATTCGTACGCCTTCTTCATTAATCCAAATTTTCGTTTGGTGAAAGTTACCTGAAAAGATAAATAAAATAGGGGATGAGAAAACTTAAGAATCTCCTCTAATCTTCCGCATCAATGCCTCAAGCAGTCAATAAACTTGAAAGGAAGAGATTTTGGTTGAAGGTAAATCATAATCTTCACCAAAGCATGATATGAAAGATCATTTTTCATTGTTTAGAATATCACCCTCCCAAAAAGAAAAGGAAAAAAAAACTAAAAATACCGAATTACGCCTTCCTTTTTATTATTAAGCGTTATGCTACTGCTGTAATAGAGGAGCCAAGCTACTTTAATAACACCGCCGATGAATGTAATTTACCGTCGACCCGAAGTGATTTAATGTGAATTAACCAACTAAAAAGCACTTTTAACGAATATTTTTATGTCGCGCCGGTCACAAACGATTTTTAATAAATTATTTTATATAAGTGCCGACTACCTCCAGACATTTTACAAGCACCGAAGAAAACGGCTTTTAATGAATTATCGACGTAAAATGGCGTCGAACGAAATTTTCCAACACTTGCACTTTCAACTTGCTGAATGGAATTGCCTTTTTTTTTATGTGGCAAATTTTTAACGTCGATTCACAGTCTCTGCAACTGGCACTCGATAGTGGACGGACTAGTTTTTTGAACGACATATTGACACATTTTTAATTCCAAGGAAATTGCGGGACCGAAGGAGGAGATCATGAGAGGTAAATGACACCGTGTATATAACGGTGTATAACTGGACTTCTTTTTTTTTTTTTCTCGTCCGTTTTATCTCCTCAACAGGTCTTGCCCTAGGCTGTAGCAGCCGGTGGCTGTGTTAAAGTGAATCATGTTTCTTAATATATGTTTGTGGTAATGCTAACCGCTATTTCAGCCATCTACAATGGTCTGCAAACCGGTACGGGCCAATGACCAGAAACTTCTGGCATAGAAAACAATGAAAACAAAAGCTAATGCAGGGGCGGTGTCCCACTAACGAACCTTCTAGATTGCTAGAGTCGGCTTTTTGGCTAGGCGAGAGGTAATTTTTGAGGTTCATAGCCCTCCCCTACTTGTAGGAAAAATGGACGATTTCACACGGAAGCGAAAACGATGCCCGCGGTAACCAATAACTGAGTTTTATAACCTGGAAAATATGATGTGTGAAAGGGAAGGTTGTGAGTTGTCAGTAAATATTGTGACATCCACCAGGCAATATCAGCTTGTCCACAGGAAGAAGTGAATCACTTTCAAACTCCTATTTTACTTGGGGATCTTTCCGACAAATATGACTATATAGACGTTATGAGGTTCTTTACAAGAACAAATCCACAGATTTATTAAACAGAATATAATATTATACCATAAATACGATCATTTTTCTATAATTATACATAAAAGAATCCGTAAGTGATTTATATAAAATATTTTTATGCGAACGACTTTAATCTACTTTTAAAAATGATCACCATAAAAATATTATGAAATAAACAATAGATTATCCCAAAAATAAACTTTCCCCGGTGGCTAAATGGAGGGAATTTTAATCGAGAGGGAAATATTTCCTTTACATCAGGTTCCTCTTAGTTTCGGATCAAGCGCCGAAAATCCCCTGTATTTTATTTTATTTTTTTTTTCTTTCTCGAAAGTTTCCTAATGAAAATTCTACCCGGGGCAAGAATAGAGGAAGAGGACTTAAAATCGATGAGGCCCCTTTTCCTTTACGTGAAAATCATTAAGGAGAAAGGAAAAGTTCTACTCATTGACTTCCTTGTTTCAACTGATAAACTCCGAAACGAACGAGTTTAGCAGGAAGAATCAGTTTACAGACAGTTATCGACTCGTTTTCGATTTCTATAAATTCGTAGAGAGGCGAGTAGAGGCTAAGAAAACATTTAGAAAAAAGTAAACTAGTTAGCCTATCTGGCGATCTGCGTAGCCTGCGGATGTTTTGATGATTTCGCAGACCGACTGTACACAAAAACCGAAATAAACCTGATGAAAATTCAAAACACGCAGTTTAATTTTAAACCCGGTTGGGTCCATTTTCGCAGAGAATTAATGAAAGATAATCGCAGCAGGAAACTGGTAGCAGCCTGCTTTCTATACGAGTTATATACGTTTTAAAGTCCGGATTTTCGGGTGTATTCATCACCCGTAAACTAATTAACCGGAGCGCGTTTAAAGTGAAATTCGGATAGTAAAGTAGGGGGGGAGATCTTCCTCCTTGGCAGATAATCGACTGAACGCGGAAGAGAGAGAGTGCGACTGGAACAAACAATTCCCGTTATGCAGCAGAGACAAGCACGGATTGGTAAAAGAAAGAACAATTGCAGTTGTGATATATATAATTTTTTTTCTATTCCCCTCTTTCACGCGATGGTAAAACAATGCCGACTCACAACTAATTTAAGAAACTCGCTAGCCCGATTTAACTTAAAAGAAAATAGCCTTTTAAAAACTACTAATTAACACTCACCTGCCGGTTCCTTTCGTCCGTTATCCGCGAAATCTGTATTTTTTTCCGTCCCATGGTTTCCGTTCTTGTTCCTCACTTGGGACAGTTGGATCAGACAGTCGTCAATCCGTCCGAATGCCAATCGAGAGTGAGGTTATTCTGCAATAAAAAAAGACAGTTGTGAAGCCAATCTTCTGTGTTGTGTGCAGTCTACTGAGAGAGAGAGGGTTATGTTCCATTCATGCATGAGGACATTTCTAAGGTGCGCGACACTGACAAGGTCGTAGTTACTAGAATTTAAAAAAAAACACCAGAAATAAAAACTAAAGTGTTAAATCAATAAACAAACCGTTTTCGAATGCGCTTCTGTTTTTTTTTTAATGGGAGGCTGCCCATTAATTTATAGACGTTTTCCCACGCACACGCGCTAAGGGAGAAACAATGTCTTATCGATACGCCACGTATTAGTCTCGTTCTGTATGGTCGTTAATTAAACAATGGGATCCACCTCCGCTTCTCGAACAATAGAGTCGAGCTATTGTTCGATACTCAACCCTTTAACTGCATTCGGGAAAGCGGTTTCTCACGTTGGGATGCAAGCGCTAGTTAATATGACATCACATCCGGTCGGTAAATATCGCGTGCGGAATTCGATGCGGAAGAACGGACTACAAAACATCGCTTCGATCACTGAATGGAAAAGAAAACGCGTCAATAGACATCTTCCTTGTGCAATTTTATTTTTGAACGTTTTCGGATCTCCCCCCTTTTTCTTTTGAGGCTTTTGCCATCTCGAGATTTCCAACATTCGTTTTTAACTAACGATCTTTGCTCTGGTTATTCTTTAACCACGACCCTTTTAGAATGGCACTGTCGCTATGCAAAACGCACTTGCAACTCGAATTAACCTTTTCCCATAGGGAACGAATTTAAATCATGCATCGGCCATCGGTTGGCATCCATCTTTCTCGACCTAAAATAAAGAATCTTGGAGAAATTTCCAGTCGGTTAAAGAGGCGGAGGATCTATTTCGAGCCGCATCTTCGCAACCTGACCGTCATCAAATTTTCACAAATACCGTAGCGAACGTACTGTACTTCTTCGATATTTCGGTGGAGCTCGCCTGTACCATGAAAGTTTTAAATACATTTGACCGTTGGGCCATTCATCTAGCCATCCCTACCGAAAAATGCTTTTAAACTTTTCGATATAGGGCCTGGCAAGCCTTCAATATTTCCATCGACTGCACAATCCTTCCACCATCTGTCTTCATTTAACAGCCATTCTCTTCTCTTCTGGGAGTGGATCTTTGGCGAAACGGTTCGATATCCCCTTAAAACAAAAATCTTTCCAGTTCCAGACATCGAATAACCGCGTAGAATCCCTTGTAAAAATTCTTTAAAAAATTCCCGCTTGTTTCTTTTTTTTTTATAACGTCCTTGGACCTATATGCCCACCCCCCATTTTCGAATGTCGTCAGCATTCGTAATCCTCAACAACGATCCTTGGACTGCGTTCAACGAGCTACAAAACTTCTGTCCTCTTTGTTGGTTATGAACACGAACAATGAATATCGGTATTAAGTGAAGCAATGCAATCATTTATTTTCCAAATTGCGAAACGTCGGGTAGTTTTTTCCCCTCTTTGTTTTGTTTTTTCTTAAATCATATCGTAACGTTTTCTGTGTATACAACAGCTGATCGGCGTAAGGTTTGCTAGTTTTAAAGGGCAAAATACGAAACTCGGTCAACGCCGTTCGAATGAATTGTTCGGATAATGATGGAAACAGCTGACTCAAAAAACAATTGCAAAAAAAGCAAAAACACAAAAAAAAAAGAATTTATCTTCTGCGTAATTTTTTGATCGTTTTCGAAATCCTCTTCCTCCCCCTCTTCTTCGGCTAGCAACACGCTAGGGATAATTAATTTAAAAATAGGGTTCCCCCCGATTTTTCTGTGTCGAAATGTTGCGAATTTCGCAACTTAACTCGAACGATTCCTCGGAAGAGATTCGAAAATTTTCCATCACGTGACCCGGTTGATGTGGCCCCCCCTTCGAAGTGAAAACGAAGAAGACGGGGGTTATTTCGGAATCGCACAAAACTAAATAATTGCTAGTTATACAATAAAAAAAAAGAGAATGAGAGAAAACTATTAGTTAAACGACGTACAATATCGTTAATTCCTCATTATGTAATTATTGCCGATGTTTTCTAAGAATAGAATGAAAAACATAAAAATTGGAAAACTAAATACATTATCTAACGAATTCCATTATAATTTTCTCGAAAAATCAATTAAGAGATAGAAATTAACCCAATTTAAAACAAATTCTTAAAAATAAATTACGTCACCAGATATCCAAAATAAGAGATTCTTTGGACCAGATGGGAAAAAAAAGATGAAAATATATATATATATATATACAGTAGAACCTCGAAAACTCGGCCCTCGATAACCCGGCACTCCGGATAACTCGTCCACACCCTGGCAGGGCAAAAAAATCCTTAGTTAATTAATTTTCATTATAGACAGCTTTATAAAAGTATAAAAGCTCTCATAAAGTATTTTTCTGAGGTCTGTCTTATCAGGTAAATTACTGTACACAGTGTATTCATTAATTTTCATTTTCATGTAGTAAAGGCTCTATGCCTTCATAAAGGACGTACTTTTCCTTTGTTTAAGGGTATTTGGGCAGTTTATTCTCTGTTATATTCTCAAGTAAACAATACATACAAGTACAGTACAGTATTTTCTGAGGAAACACTCGTACTTATTTTTTTTAACCCCATTCCCGATAACCCGGCATTTTCACAAACTCGGCCACCCTTCGGTCCACATTAGGCCGAGTTTACGAGGTTCTACTGTATTAACTTATTCTTTACGTAGAGATGGAGAGAGGTCAAAGGTCGCTAATGGTAACGTTGACCCAAGTGCCCATAGAGACGGTGAAGACGGGCGATGGATTAAATAAAATGCATTGTGGCAAAGGAAAAACCGCCTTTTCCCTAAGAGACCGTTGAAAGTAGTTCTATTGTATCGGCGATGACGTCAAACTACTACCCCTTTAAAACCCCGAAGCTAGTAAAAACCACCATCGGACTAGGGTCATTAGTGTTCAAACTATGCCACCCCCTGCCGTTAAATCATCAAAGTCGGTGGCAAAAGGAGATTGCGGACTGGATTGCACAGAACGTCGGCGGGAAGAATTGTAGATAAGTGGAAAATTTCGGCGGAAAACGAGGAAATTCTGTTCATACTACATGTATTAATTCGACGAAACGGGAAGAATAATAACAGCAACGAGGTCGTTACTCAGGTGCCATTAATTTCTCCTCCCTCTTGGTTCAATCACGTGACAAGAATGACAGCGAGTTGAGAAAACTTTCTGGTTCACTAGACAAGCGCGTTCACTTCTAGAAAGAAAGAAAAACGTCTATCCGAGTTTTGCGATGGCCCCGGGCACCCTCCGCCGTTCACTCACCAGCAGAGTTGACCAGAAGAGGTCAGTGTTCCACATTGCTAGGAAATCGGGTTAGGGCCCCGGGCCAAAGAACCACCACCAAGGTCCAGTTTATAGAAAATATAGGCCACAAGAAGCAAGGACAGAAAGAATATGTCTTGTCCTCTCTCGGCAGACAGTAGTGAGAATTACATACTGTAATGCTTACCTCCCTCCCGATTCCATTGTCTGTGCCCCCTTTAGGAAATTATCTTCAAATTTGCTTTCCTCATTACACACAGTCAAAATCGCAGATGATACGCTCTCCGGTTAAGCGTGAAGATAACCACCTATCCACATTTTGCGAAAGAATTTTTCTAACTCGAATTTGCCTCGTTCTACCGGGAAAACTCGGCGAAAAAACAAAAGAAAGAAAGAAAGAAAACGGTTACCAAACGCACAGATTAAGTCGAAAATTTCCTAAATTCTCCAAATTTTAAAAATCTAGGACAGTACACTAATTCGTAATTCAGTTAACGTCGGCCTGTCGGTGTTTTCCACAAGAGATATGGAGGAACAGGTGAAAACTCGCTACAGCGAACTCAAAGGGGAAAAATGTCGAACAATAACCCCTCCATGAGTGTGTGGAGGAGATTGCCTCACGCACAGTCATGTCATTCACACCACCAGCGAGCAACCCGCCAGCTATATCTTACCCCCCAGCGAGTCTATCGACAACGCTGTGGACTTTTTCTCCTCTCCTTCCATACTGGGTCATACACAAAAAGATGCCCGCCCGCCATTTTACCGCTCGACTAATTAAACTGACCACTCCATTACGATTAAAACTTGTAGTAGGAGACAGATGAAACCAACTCTGACCAATTAATTCCGCTCCAGCTTCGACTTTCGCACTTCCATACTAGCAGTTCGAACTAATTGAGTAAATTGAGCACTAAGGTAATTTCGGTCACGCACGTACAAGTTAATCGCCCGCTCGAATATCAAGAGGGGTTCGAAAAGAAGAATAAAAATCGTCTCCCTTAATCCCACCTTAACCACAAAACGAGCTTTCAACACAGCCGTACCTGGTGAGTACCGGAAGAGATCGGCTCCAACAAACACAAGCGAACATCAATGAATGTTCTGCACGAGGAAAAAAAATCATCACTTAATGCATGGCTAGATATAAAAGTCTTACCTTTACATCAATACATCTCCAAAACGAGCATCCACACGGGCACATTCTCCACAGCGACTCGGAACATAACGCGGAAGTTAATTGTCACATTAACCCAAATGAGTAGATTGTAACTTTTTACCGATTTTTTTTTTTTTTAAGATTCGGAAACGCCCGAGGAACGGTGAGAGAGAGAAAGAGAGAGAGCGCTAAAGGGCGTTCACGACCCTTCCGTCGTTCCACACTAACCACGTGGGAGAGGGAGATCGGAAGTGTTAATCACCCCGCCGGTGTCGGAAAATTCGGGAATGGAAGCATACCGTGTCTAAACATACCATGGGTCGCCATTTGTTCGAGTTGTTCCTCCACGACATTCGGGGGAGGAAAGAGAAATACACAGTCCGGAACAATAGAATCTAAATATGGGAGTGTGTTTTGCTCTAGTGCACCTGACGTCCGCTTGAGGTTTGGGCGGGTTATAAGACCTGTTGCGTCATGGGCCACGGAGAACAGAATCGGTCATCCGTTTGTCTTCTCCCTTCCGACATTTGAATTTAACGCTGTTTATAATATATTCGTATGGTCGCTCGAATCACACTACCTGTACTTGATGCCGCGTACGAGTCTATACAATGCGAAGGGATGGAAGTAGTGCCGAATAAACAACCCCTTTCCGGTCTAGAACAACTCTTACATTCTCTGGATTCGTATTTGGCATATTAAATTCGAAAGACTTAAGATTATCGGCAGTATATTTTTTTAAGTTATTCGAAAATAATTTTTAATATACCAATAAATATTTTAATGGTGACCTTTCTAGAAAAATGGCAAATTCCGAGATGAATACATTCTAGAAAACTTAATACATTCCAGAAGAAACGAATGTGTAATTTCGGAACCGAAGTAAAATGTAGAGCAATTCCGAAACGGATTTTTCTGGAAATCGATATATTCTAAAATAACTCAAAAAGACTTATTCTAGATATTAACATATTCTAGAATAATTGCGTATGAAAATATACATTATTTAAACAACTCGGGCAGGGGGAAAGAAACACTTAGAAAACTCAGACCAACGAGTAAATTCGAGTGGATTTTAAAAGAGAGGAAAAAAAATTCTAGAGAATCCAAGAATATTTCGCAACGTTTGGTCGACACGTTAGGGGAAGAAAGCATTACGAAATACGAAAGAATACGGCACGATTCCAAAACGTACACAAACAATAAGAAGCCAAATTTTACTTTTGATAAGCACGAAGGTATTTTTCGATTCTTTGTTTCTGTCGGGTTCCCTCCACGTGTTTTCCTCGTCATCTTTCTCACATACGTATTGACTTGGATTGCTCTCACGTATTTTTTTTTTCCTGACATAAATTACGTCTCGGAAAGAACGTGATCAGGAAAGTGCAGATTGTGTTTTGATAGGAAATGATGAAGTAGTGGAAGAGAAAAAAAACTTAAAAAGAAAATGAATCATCGAAGGCAAATTGTCTTTCCCCGAATCAAACGAGCCTCGTCCAATTAGTAGGCTAAAGTTACAAGGTCCGACGAGACCAAGGTTCAATTCCTTGCGGGGTGTTGGGGTGACTGACGAAGGTATATGGGACATTTTTTTCTCTTCTTGTGTATCTTTCGACCACCTGCGGTCGAGTGTCATTTTTACGACGAACGAAATGGGACAGCGGCTCTATATATCGTTAGATGTGACGTCGGGGCCGAATCCTTCGCGAAAATCCATAGAGTGTCTCTCTAGAATCCACAGAAAAGTAAAGGAAGTGCGGAAGAGAATATTTAAAAAAACAACCGTTAGCCGACGAGGAAATGACTTTTTTTTTTTTTGATAAGTTTGGGGCCCTCCCCGCCCGCATTATTCTCGTATCGTGAATGTCTTCTTCCCGCACAGACACAAATAGTTCGCACAGTCACGTCAGTTCGATCTTCCAATGTCCATCTTTGTTCGAACACCTATCTACGCCGCCCCCTTTACTCAATTAGCTTTTGTTTATCTCGAGTAATGAGGTTGTTAACCCGCACAAACAATGAACTCGACTAAATGGTGTTAAACGTGTCCGCCGCATGATTCGTCCCTCCGCACGAAGAGTGACTAAAGAATTAGGCGAAACGTTATTCGTTACGTTCCAACGTCACTTCCTTTTGTCGACAAAAACGTTAGTTCCGTAAAGGTCTCGAGTTTCCCACGGCTTAAGGGCTAAAACCCCTTTAGTCTCTAGAGAGTTAGGGGAGGACACTCGGATACGGCCAACAACACAACAGGATTCGAAGGTGTGTGGGCCAACCCCATTCCGAAGCTCGAAAGGGGGTAACAAACTAGAATTTTAAAGGTCAATCTCACCGGTGAGAACACGATACACAACGCTTCTCAACTGACTTAAACGTAGCCATCAACCCACTTAGCAGCTAACCTACTAGCAATCAATTGCTAAGAACAACCTCGCCCGTTAATGACGATACGCCGACTGATGAGAAATGATTTCGTCCCGGTTTCATCAACCATCTCGTCCGAGCAACGGGTTTTTTCGCCAATTATCGAAATTAAAACTTGGGGGGCCATCACGTAAGAGCCACTTCTAATCACATTTCCACGATTACCGGGTATTAAAGAGGAGGAATCTCCTATAACGGTGTATATATTTTACTTTTTCCACAATAATTAAAGCTCGTGCCAAGCGGCCCTCCCCTACGCATCTATATCTTTCCTTCTATATCAAAATTAGCAAAAGGATTTGACTCTGACAAACAACATTCCATAGCTAAGTATAGAAGTCGCGCCATTATCTCCTATCTGTTGTTGTTGGAGGAGGGCAGGTTTTTTTCTTCTTCTTCTTCTTCGGTGGGTCCAACAACCTCCCCTTCTCGTGACAATCCGAAAGTGATCTAGCCACGTGGCGCTGTCGACCTACTTGAATCTGGACCGGTTCCTGTTTCGTCGAGCAATTTTTCATCATTATCGAATAGAAAGACATTAGCCGACTATGCGAATTCTCGACGAGGGGCGTGTGCCCTCCACCGGGGTTAATTTTAACATTGAAAAGAAACGTGGCGGGATGATGCGGTTCTTCCTACGAATTCCGTTTACGCTTAAACTCTCTTGCTTTCCCCCCTTGGAGTTCAGTTTTCTGGAGATGCTTGGATGAGGATGCTGCGGTTTCCTAATTTGGAAGCGCAGCATCTGTTGCCAGGGGTCGGTCGGGATCGGATGTACTCGCAGACAGGAAATGGGGTGTGCCACGTGACTCGCCACGTGCATGGCAGCGGGCCAAAGTGTCGGAAGATGGAAGGGAGGCAGATCGCGCTCCATCGCACTTTTTTTTTCTGCTTTCTCTTTTTCCCCCCTTCCTACCTCTACAAGCGTCTAGAGGAAAACAAGAAAGATGTTTGAGACAGAAAAATGGAAGACGTCTGAAGAAAAGAAACAAAAATCGAATTTCTTTTTGGACAATTTAGTTTAAACACGGTGAAAATGGAATGTTTATCGAACCTTTTCTCAAGTTAAAACTGAATTTTCCACACGTTAATAAGTCTAACTTTGTTTATTTTATGGTCGTTTCGAGAGTTCGGAACTATTCATTGGCAAAGAACTAAACAGTACCCGATCTAAACGAATCATTTACACGATTCCACAATATAAAGCGCGAATTTTAGAAGGCAAAATTAGATAAATTGTAACGTGAAGTATGCGCATCTCGAGAGAGAGAGAGAGAGAGAAGCGAGGTTCCCTCACCAACTAAGACCATTAGCAAAGGAACAGACCTTAAAGGAATCCCAAGTGAATTATTTAAAAGTTCTAATCATTACTAAGAAACGTTATGCAGAATTCCACAGATACAGCATCCTTCTAATGAAGAGGCAAGGTCGGTGTTTTTTTACAAACTTAATTATCTTCATTATATTATAGTCCGAACTTAGATGACGAGAAACCGCATTAGACATAAACCCACATCACGATCAATGTCTACTAAAGATGTTAACTTGTATTTTTTAATGATAAATCTTAGGGAATCGATTGAATAAACCGGTCTGAATTCAAAGAGGAAGTGATGCAAAAACAACACGTGTAGTGCATACTTTCGGTATCTGATTTGATAAGGCTGCAGGTCGAAAGTTCTAATTTTAAATACTATCGAATATTAAATGTTTTTCCCCCTCCGTTCTTTACCTTTTCTTTTGTTTTTTTTTTTTTAAAAAAAAGGTGAAATTTATTTAGTTAAGGTTGGCATTTTGCGGTCGAAATCTCTTAACGACGACCGTGCTAAGGTAAAAAACGGGGGATAAACCCTTCAGAACGAGGTTGTAAATCAGTAGCTTCAAGGTAGGCCTTCGTTTCCGTTTTGCAATCGCTACTAAACAGTCACTCCGCGCTCTGTTTTAGGTCTCGAGTCACTTCCTTAAACAGTTGACTCGAAAGTAAACATAAAAAAATAATAACCAAAAGCGGGGGTGGGAAATTCGGACCTTTTACGATTATCAAACAGTGTCCACCTCCGCTCGTTCGATGCCAAAGTTTAATTACAACCTCCACACTTTGGCATGTACTCTTCTCACCAAAATAAACCTCGACCAAAACGATACACACCGTAAAAATAACACAGGACGCACTCTTGAATTAGACCCTTCTAAAACCGAAACTAACCAAAATTAACTCGACGAAATCTAAACAGTGCATTTAGACGACGTCTGCCAGTCGGTCCTTACATCGGCTTCTAGTCTACGGGGTCTAAATTCCCAGGTAAGGTTGTCTTTCCTCCGCTTGGATTGTTTTTTTTTTTCTTTCTTTCTTTCTTTAAATTAAAAAAAAATATATATTTATATACATATAATAATACGAAGAAGCGAAACCAATATATTCCTAATTAGCATTTACGTGGGGCGCATTAATATGCTTAGTAAGGGAGCGGCTGCAGGATACGCTTATCCCCTCCCCGTTACTGCATTCCCGGTTTGGAAGGAAAACTTCATATCTCGACACTGACGTCATCGAACGATGGACATTAACTTTCCATGTCTAAAACGGCGTTATCCGTACTTTCCTACGTGACATTTTGTAGTACTTATTGAAATATCTTTTGTTTATATCTGTCTAGATAAGTTTTTCTCTTTTCTGACAAGCGAATAGGGTCGGTCGTCTGTCTTTCGACCGGTTTCTCTTCCTCGATGGTAATGTCCTTTCGCATTTTGTTTGATGGCAGAGAATGCGAGAGACCTGGATTTTACCAAATGTTCTAAACATAAATGTCCCTCCCCCCCACCACCAAACAGGATTTTCGTACGCCACGAGGAGAGAGAAAGAGAGAGAAATAATTCCTAATTATTTTCAAAAAACTTTATTTTCGTTACGCATAATTAATATAGGTTGCTCCGTTCGAGCGTAACGTCGTTAACTCGGCGATGGCGTCGATAAGAAAATGTCTTAAAATCGTTTCCATACACCCGACTATTAAAATAATCTGAATACGTTTCCTCGTTACGTTCGTTGCGGGAGTTTATAATATACTTTGGCCACGTCAGTCGAGTTGCCGAAATCGTTTCCTCCCCACCCCTATATCCCTACCCCTGGCAGAGGAACCGGACTCCGGTGGAGAAAGCTCAAATCGGTGACGTGACGTGACGTGACAGATCATCACGCGAGTGGATATTCGTCGAGAGATGCGAAACGCACTACCACATAGGTTAATTGCCGTCGTGGGATGGAATACAACCTATCTGGTGTGGACGTTTATTATTATGGGGTCGACCGATCCGACAAACTCTCCCGCTGTCGTCATACACCATTTCTCTCCCCTTTCAAGTCTTCTCGAAAATATCTACTTCCTGCATTTTTCTAAACTTATCTGGACCCTTTAACGAACCAACACGATACGCAAAATACGTTAACCAAACCGAATTAAACATGGAAGTCTCCTGTGTTATCAACAGAACGGGCGTTTAATTCTACCCCTTTTTTTTAAAAAAAAAAAAAAATCTTTAAATGGGTTTATTTAAAGGAACAATTAAGATGTAATATTTTAAGTGTTTGACCCATTAGAAGGGAATTTCGGGTTGATTTAAAAGAAAAGGAAAAAAACGTTAAAGTGTTTATCTTCCCTTTGTCTTATATCAGTTAACAGGAAAATTAATCTTAAAGGGAGAGAAGTTTATTATAAAATAAATTGGAAGAGAAATCGGATGAGATTAATTTTATTTTTAAAGAAATAAAATTCATACGCTAAAGAGAGGAGGGGAAGAACGTAGGAAACCACACGAAAAAACGGTAGGTACCGACTGTTCATTCTAATTCTACAAATCCTCGTGGGGGTTCGGAACTCAAGATGTGTAGATTAGACAGATACGGCTGGCGTTCCGCTTCTACTTTTCCAAAACCACAACATCCGGTCTGCGTCAGCGACCGCACTCGAGCGTATAAGAAACACAGAAGAAGCTCTGAAGTGTTCTCTTTTCTTTCCTTTTTTTTTTCTTTCTTGTTTTTTTTTTTCGTTCGTTCCTTCTTTCTTTCTTTAGCTAATGGTGCACTATCGACGATTGTTGATTGACGGACTTGTATTACGCGTAAACAACGAAGCTGTCCGGTAAAATCGAATTGTCATGGCAACACGAAATGGGGAGGTCGTCACTCTCTGTCGACGCGTCTTTTGTTTGACGTTCGTGCCGTTCACACGAACACAGATGGGACTTATCCTAGTAAACAAGAACCGTCTCATACTCCGAATTGGTGTACTTATCGCTTCCAATCTGGCCATCGCGTAAAAAAAAAAGAAAAAGCCACCGGAGACTTGTCAATCCGGGAATGTCCCGGATTGAATTCCATTAATCATACAACGTGAAACCTCTTGCAGTTCTTGAAATGATTGAGAAACTACGATTTTTATCGGGCATTGGTAGAGATGAGAAAAAAACATAAGTATTAGGAAAAAAAAAAAAACTGATCCCTTCCGAAGGTTGTCGTTTGTTGTAAGAGCCATTAGTATATCAAGGATAATGACAAGACACGTGCCCCATTATTTTTTTTTTCATCCGATTTCAATTTCCTAAAGCCTTGAACCTTCGATACACCGAAGAGCTAAAGACTGGAAATTCTGGAAGGACCCTATATGAGGTCAATAGTTACTCCCACCATATGTTCTGACTCGCGAACAGCGAAATCACAGCTGGATGTCTAAGTCCCTCCTTCCTTTCCGTTTCCCGGATTTTGCTTTTATCCTACAACCCCCTTCGACCCGTAACCCTTTTTGTAGGTTTCCCTATCTTTTGTAGTACGATCTGACTTGTTTACTAAAAATAAGAAAGGGAGAAACGAAAGAAACTTCCTTCGGAGAGGAAGATGAAGAAAAGAATTATAATAAATAAATAAATAAATAAAAAAGAAAGGAACCGAAATAAAACGAAAAGCGGTAGTTTATGAATTTAAACGCTGGGAATCGTTCCAGATTCTCGTAAAGATGCCCCAAACCATGAAGCGTCATAGGAAACCATCTGCAACATTTCTGGAGATGGAATGACTTCATTAATAAGTAACTGCAGGAGGGCTTGACTCCTGTGGATGACCTCCACCTTCAAACAATGCGGTCGTCAAGCATGAAGAGAATCAAAACCTTCTAAATTTAAGTCAACTAACAGATATTCCATCATTTTCATCCCAAAGAAGTAATATTAAATACTTAAATTTAAAATTATATATATATTCCCGGTATTAAGCGGAAAAGTCTTGACGCCACCTCCTTCGAAGCGCTTAATTATAAAATTAATGGGTTAAAATAAAACTAAAAACTAGTCAAAGTAGGTATAAACGAGTTGAGCACTAAAAACAAGAGAGGTAAAAACACTTACCATTCAAAATGTCTTTCTGCTTAACTCGGCAGTGTCGAAGATTAGATCTGAGAAATACAAACAAGAGCAGTTAGATAAAAGGTATTGTGGCTTGTTTTACACGTGAACAATAATTGGTATGGGGTAGTCGGGGCCTCACCTGCCTTTAAAAAGTGTAATTGAACGAACACGTGTCACAGCCAAGGAGGACAACTAAGAAGTACCGTACGTTCTCAGTCAAGGTACAACACTGTCTAAACCTTCCACTAGCAACGCCACCCAGTGGCCACGCTAGGCAGCCTCGTCTACAGCAACCTAAACCCTCCACGCCAATGAGCACATTCGAGCAAAACTAGTGAGAAGGGCCGTAACTGGGTCAACTAGTTTCCCAACCGCCTTCCCCTTTAAAATATTTACCTGACGGTTTACCGGTTTCTACCTTGATGGACTCCGCTTATACACATAAAAAAGATTTAGATAAGAGTTGGAGAGTATGCGACCGAATGCGTTTCGTTATTGTCCCGCGTGTGTCACGGCCAGGGTTAGGGTTTGTTGCCCCAGGAAGAAGTCACCCCCATCTTGGTTGTCTTGAAGGAAACATTACCCATCTAGTGTTGCTTGACGTCTGTGCGCACGTGCTCTCGTGCAGAACGCACATCATATCGTGACGTCATGCACGAGAAATAGTCACGCAAGATGGCGGCGAAGGAGTAAAGGACCACTTTGTCACGGTGAATGAGAAAGATTGGACCGTCCAATTTGGACTCGTCCGCTAATGGTGTTTGTATATATCCCTTCGTCTCTCCCACCCGGTCCCGGTCACCGATTAGAACAATGGCCGTCACCTTCTACATCTTCCCCCACCGTCACACATTCATTTACATACGACTTTTTACCGTGATGCATCATTTCAATAGGTAACCACCTAATACGTTATAAAGTAGACAGCATGGTCTTTTCTATGCCACTGGGAGAATAAATATTTGCCTTTCAATCATGTCCGCTCCTAGACATAGCGTGATCACAGATTGTACTCATTCAAACTCTGCGCAATATTCTATCACTTTTCTGGTTACCAAATCCCATCGTTCTCCTCCCTTTTACACCGATCATCCTATGATTAACAATACAAATTAACAATCGTCACGTAAAAATCGCTCGGTTACGCTTTCATTTCTTTAGTTTTTTTTTTTTAACTACCGAGCGTGTAATTCTCATTAAATAAGTAACAAATCAATACAACGAAACACTCAATTACAATTAAATTTCCTTTCTTTTTAATTTCCTACTCCTTTTCCGGTTTTATTGACGAACAAACAACAGAATTAAAGAATAAATAAATAAATATTTTAAACTTAGTTACGACATTTAACTGCATAAAATCTCCTTTTTTCCGTGTGTGTGTGTGTGTGTGTGTGTGTGTGTGTATGTATATAGAAAAAAATCGACATCGCTGCTTCTGTAGTCGCTGAACAAACAAACACGCGAACTCGGATACAGCGCCGTAAACCCGACTACACTTAAGAAGAGGGTAAGGAAACTTTTTTCTTAATGACTTCAACCGTTTTTCTGGTATATACATATGTATTTTTGTTAATTAATCAATATCGATTATTATATAATTCAGCATAAAACCGGGGAGTGATGGTCATATTTACCGCAGATTAATCACGAAGAGGTCGAGTATACTCGTATTTAGGATCGAACGTAAGGTTTTTTAGGGACCGTTCCGTCACGAGAACATCTCATCTATGTAAGTGGCTACGAAGAAAAACATTTCTACGAAATAAATTGCTCAACTTTCTCCCTTAAAAAAAAATAATAAAAAAAAGAAGTACATTTTGAAGATTTTATAGAATAATTTTTTTTTTCTTTTTAAATATTGTCTCTCGCCATTTTATTTTACTTTATCCTCTCTCTCTCTCT